CCCGCTGCCCCAATCCATCTACTTCTCACCTTTTGGATATCCCACCATCCCACCGAGCATCTCCTGGGCCTAGTCACTAGGCAAGAAGAACAGAAATAAGAGAGCAGGAGAACCAAGGAAGCCTAGGACATATAAAAAAGGCAGGACACCTGACTTCTTGGGATACCAGGATATCAGCTATGGCCCCCCCTCCCTTCTGGGAGAAGTCTATGTTACCCTTTTTAAATGAACCCTGCTTTATATGCTTGCCTTGGCGTGCTTCTCTAATATTCAAACTTCCACATGTGAGGGAGCAGAACTCGTCATCAATAACCGGCGGTATCAGAGGGACCCAGGTTTATGGCAGAGCTGCAACCCTTTCCCCTCAACAGCTATTTGCAATGTAATCATGTTAATCACCACAGGTTCTCTACCTCCTCACCTGCCAAGATGTTCTGCTTACTCTAACATAAGGTGGGGAGTGGCTAGGTGAAGAAGGAGCCAAAATAAATCCGGGCAGGTGAGAGGACCAAGGAGCATGACTTGGCAGAAACCAGAGAACTGGAGGAGCAGGGAGCGGTGGGGAGTGCTCTCAGGCCCTCCATCCTGCCTCTCCTCCCACACTGCAGGTCCTACTTGCCTTCTCTCACTCTTTTCCTCTTTCCTTAAATCTTCTGGAGGGGAAAAAAAAAATACCCACACCAAAGTCATCCAGGATTCAGAGGGGATTACTGGGCGGACAGGGGCCTCACTCACTCAGGACTGGCTGGGGCATGTCAAGGAAGCAGAAAGCTCCAGGCTGCCCACATTCCCAGGGCCCCAACCTGGAGCAGGCAGCCTCTCCTGCAGGAAGCCCTCTCACAGGATTTCATGTCTCCAGCATGGAGCAAAGTACGTTGGTACCAAGTGTTGAACTGTCATGTCAAGGCCTATCTAATGGAATGAGAAAGGTGGCGTATGGGAAATCCACTTACACTCGCTTCTGGGCTGGTCTCTGCTATAAATACAGCTTAACCTAATACAAGGTTCTCAACCTTGGCTGCACATCAACGTCACCTGAAGAGCTTCTAGAAGTCCTAAGGACAGAGCCCCACCCCAAAGATTCTCACTCAATTAGGTGAGAATGCAGCCAAGGTTCACCATGGGTGTAGTGACACCAGGATCAGGTGCCATTCTAGTTTGAGGGTGGTAGTCATAATTCGTGAAATAGGTAAACCTGGATTATAAACCTCAACTTGCTATTGAGCAGGTGTCCTGAGTTCTCTGAACTTTTAAGTTTCTTCCTGTAGAAAGTGTAGATAATAATCCTATTATTCTACTCTTAATCCTATTATTCTATTCAGTTGGAGGAGTTCCTGACACATAAGTAATCACTGTCACTTTCTTAACTCCTACAATGGATGTATGTGTCCAACTCTACTAATGGCACATGGCTTGCGACTGACTTTCAGATCTGCCACCACATCACCCAAAGAAGGACACAGGGGGTCTAAGTTCCTCTAAGACCACTGATACTAGTGCTACTAACCAGGCTCTGGGCAGCCTTCCATATGCTACGCTTATCTCTTATCTATCCTATACTCACTGGGGTACAGGAGGTGGGAAAGGGTATTACCAAGGCAGTTAAGGGAAGAACCTCACCCTTAAGGGCATTTGACTAGAAAGGTAAAGGCCAGCTGCCCAATAGCTCTAGAATCTAGAGAGAATAGCAGGGTTACTTAAGAGAAAAAGGACACATGCCAAACTCATTTATCAATAGTCCCAATTTACCTGCTATTGGGATGATGTATTACCAGGGATTCCTCAAAATTAATCTATTCAGTAAGAGGACACAAAGTACCTGGAGCTTCAGAAGAAAGAGGGGTAAACCTGGGCTGCACTAAATCATGCAGAGAAGGTTGTGTGGGCCACCCTAATCACTGTGGCAGGTCTCCACTTACCCAGACACCACCATGGCCCTTTTGTACCTGTGGAAGCTGTTCAACCTGTCTTCAGACCCAGACAAGAACTTCCCCCTTCCACTGTCTTCACAGCCAATTCCCGCTTACTTCTCCCTCTCATGGCCACATCCGGACACAAACAATGCCCAGTGACTTTTCATTCTGGCTCTTCCAAAACAGATCCCTGTGAGGGGTGGGGAAAGGGACTCCACTGAAAGGGAAGGTGGGACAGGGGTTCCAGATGCCCCCACCCCTGCTCTTATCAACTGGAAAGCTCTGTGGATGAGCTCATCTCACCTCTGAGATTCTCTTAAAGATGGATTTCTGTACCCTCTCCCACTGCATGAGCTGGTCCAACCTCCTGAATTTATAGACACGAAGCAAGGAAAAGTGACAGTCCCGCAACCAGGTGAAATTGGAGGCAGATGGAGAATGACAGTAGGACTCCCTGTCCAGTGCTCAGCCTGCTATTCCCATACTCTCTACTTGCATTTCAAGAAGCCAAATGCATCTGCTGATGCCCCTGCCCACACAGCTGTGTGTCAAGTGCCATAGGGAAATACCTAGAAAGGCAGAGGAGTCCCTGGCATTGAGGAGCTCCCAGTATTCAGAAATCAGATGTGATTGTTCAGCTGATAGAATGACTATCCTGCATGTCTGGGGGACTGGGGAGAAACTGTTAGGACAGCACCTGCCAAGGATAGCAAGGATAATAATTAGCACAAATGCTTATGTAACACAGAGGAAAGTCTGGCACATGGAGGTGCTAAGTATATATGTTAGAATATATTAACTGTTAACATCCTATATGGCATAGATGCTGTGAGAAAACAGAGGTTCTGAGAAGTAACTTGCTGAAACTCAAACTTCTAATAAGGGGCAGGATTCAAACCCTGGTATTCTGCCCCAGAGCCTATCGCTGTTCTTCCTGCTACATCCAATCTGCCCTTGCGGGGTAAACAAAGAGTAGCACAGCTCCTCTCCCCAGGATCCACATAAAGTTCTTTCTCCCTTGCTTTACAGTAATCTGAGGAATGATATAGCTGAACCACTTCACCTGAAAATACAGGTCCTACCCACCTGATTCTATTTATTGTGAGGACTAAAGGAGATCACTTATTATTAAGTCACCTAGCACAGGCCCTCTCATGAAAAGTACAAAATAAGGGGGAGGGGTAAGGAAACTTCCCTTTTTTAATTCTTTAAAGATCTCGAAGTCATCTCTGAACTTCACTGAGGAAGAGATGGGAAAACAAAGTTCAAGGATACTAAAATTTTTCTATTTCCAAAAGCAATGAGCTGGATCCTAGGATCTCAGGATCCTAGAGGGGCTGAGATTTAGGGAAAGCAAGTGCTCTGGACACAAGCCCACCATTTCATTGAGAAAGATGGAGAGGTCAATGATTGAGTGATCCAAAGAATCCCATGACATGCTCTATCCTGGAAGACTAGAAAAGAAGTAGATTAATCTAGAAAAGATGTTTACCAAATGTAAAAAGATGCTGGGCAAATTTTTCTCTAATCACATGACCAAAATAATAAACTTAGAACTTGTTATGACATGAAAGGCTCTGTGGGGCACTGTCAAGGATGGAGGGCTCCTACCAAGAGAGGCAGAAACCCTTAAACTGGAAAAAGCCACGTCCTGCTCTGTAACCTCTAGAATGAGGCTGAACCCTCCTAAGGGAAACAAAGATGAGGCAGAAAGAGCAAGCAAAAGGACACAGCACAAAGCCCTGCGATTACAAAGTAATAACTGACTGTTGGTGACATTTTTAGTGTCACATTATGATGAAGCTGTTATCACAGGAACACCTTATCACACACAGACACCCTCCACTCAGGGCATAAGGAGAGAAAAGGTAAAAAAGTGAGACAGGGCTGTGGAGTACTTACAAAACACCTCACTAGATGCAAAGTCCCATTCCTTGGCGGCCCCTATTTTCTGCAAACTGAGTCGTGGAAGCCGGTAACAGGTCTGGGACGGGGGTTCTGAAGCGAGCCTCCAAGGAGCCGCTCCTGCTGGGCTAGCAGGTGAGCCCAGGTAGCCCATCTGTGGAACATCACTCGCTGCCTGCCTGAGCGCCAAGGGGGTCCCAGAAGGGGCTCAGAGTACAGATCTGGTGCTTCTCTAGGGAAGGGGTGAAATGCTCGGGCCTGGACGGGAAAGGTGCGGGTGCAGGGGGCTCACCTCTGTGGCGGGTTGGGAGGGCTCCCCGGGGTGGGGCTGCGTCACAGGAGCCCCCGAGCTGCAGCCCCGGACACTGGACCGCACGAGCCGCTCCAGCATCCGGGACACGGGCCTCGCCGCCATGAAGCCTGCCCGCGGGGAGCGCCTTGGCGGTGGCCGGCCAAGGAGCGCACTAGCCCGGGCCTCCGCTGCCTGGGTCGTCCGGGAGAGGGCGGCGCCCGCGCAGCCAATCGGCGAGGGCGCCGCGCGGCCTTCTGGGAGCTGTAGTCCTCTTGCCCCGCCCCTTGCCGGGGCAGGGTGCGCTTTCTTGGGCAGAAGCGTCAACTCCAGGGTAACAGCAAAGCTCTTTTCGTCCAGCCTTCTCTGGTCCGGAATTTAGAACGTGCTGTGACAGGTGGAAAGCGCTATAATCAGGGTAGGAAGAGGGCCAGGAGAAAGGAGCACTGCCTTGGGCGCAGGATTTAAGGGAGTGCCAGTAAAACTCGATTACTAAGGTCAAATTTCAGTGCTGTATTGCGAAAATTCAAAGTCGATGCAAAAACAAAACAAACAAACAAAACCCCACCCACCATGAAATATTGAATTTTACACAAAAACGAGACCGATCTTACAGCTGGAGGACTCGCCTCACTCACTTTGAAGAAGGATAAAAGAAGAAATAGGTAGACATTTGAGAAAGAAAATAGGATTTTAATCCATGAGTTCTGCATATTTATTCAGGCCTGTCATGCTCTAAGCCAGTCTCTCTTCCAGGCCTGTTATTCCCACAAATTCCTGGGAAATTTATAAATCTACCAATGCACTGTTAATTCGCCCCCCAGCAATTAGATTAAGCAAAGAGGTACCACATCTTTTTTTCTTTTTTTGGATATAGGGGTTTGAACTCAGGGGCACTCAACCACTGAGTCACATCCCCAGCTCTATTTTATTTTTATTTAGAGACAGGGTCTCACCGAGTTGCTTAGCGCCTCGCTTTTGCTGAGGGTGGCTTTGAACTTGTAATCCTCCTGCCTCAGCCTCCTGAGCCGCTGGGATTACAGGCATTGGACACCTTACCTGGCAAGGTACCACGTCTGGTTGAACCTATAATTTAGGGAACTTTCTGGTGCTATTGATCATGTAACAAAGACCATATCAACCTAAGAATCCTGAGGTTGACCAGACCACCAGACACTATCTTGAGATGACCAGACTGATACCATTCCTATATAACCTTTCCATACCCACTCCTCACCCAGTTTCCTTTAAAAGAAGAACTAGGAAACCCCTCCCCTGTCAAAGGCATCTCTGACATTCAGGATAGCCCTATTCTCCCTTAAATGTCTATTTCTTGCTTTACCACCCAAATCATCTCTTTTCAGATCTCTCTCCCTCTCCCTTGAATTTGTATCTACTTTCCTAAATAAACCTACCTTTGGATAGTGCTAAAATTCTTTTCTGTTATGTATGTCAAGAACCCCACTGCTCCAGAGTCAAATTTACCCTTCTCTCCCAAAACTCTTCTGAACCTTCTTAGGAGACACCTTTTCATAACATCCTCTCTGCCCTAGCCCAGACTCTGGTTGTAGGACAGTCAGTTCCCTCTTTCAAGATACCCTTCTCTCATTGTGCCCACAAAGGACTCTAACAATCCTTCCCTCTCGTTTCAGAAAAGGTGTTAATAGAAGAAGTCAAAGGAGGAGTGGATATGGCTTTTGGAATGCTTCCTACACACCAGGCACTATAGTAAACATCATTGAAGACAACAATGCTGGCATCAATAGAGTGTTCATTTTGCGAGTGAGGAAACAGGCTTAGGGAGGCTCAGCAACTTTCATAAGGGCACATACCCGATAGGTGTCAGAACTGGATTTCAAATTGAGAATAATCCAGCTCCAACAACGATACACTTAAGATTCAGTATGTGTCAAAGGAAATAGTGGTGGTTTCAGAAAGTCTCTGAAAAAAAGTCTTTTGATATTTTGGATGATAATGCATACTTAATAATGAATTTAAATACTAAGCAGCATTATGCTCAAAACACTCTGTCCCTTATATCCAAAACATAATTATCATGGAATTGCAGAATAAAACTATCAGAACAGACTTGCTGCCAGTGCATATTAGGAAGTGGCATGATGCCCGTCTCGAAGAATTGAGAGATTAGTCAGGGAGGAAAGAATAATTGACTATAACTTTTACAAATGCAGAGAGGCTATCAGAAAGCTTGGGATGATTTTAGCTTTAGATTCAGGCCGAGTTTCTCATATAATACACAAAGTTCAGACAACACATGGTAGAAGTAGTTATGTCCAATCTGTTTGAAACTGGTGGGATAGGTCTGACAATCTATTTTCAAGGGGCCTGAGGCCCCACGGAGGACTGATCAAACTCTGCCCACTTAAATGGGTCTGAATTTTTTCAGCAGAACTGAGTTGGGAGTGAGGACAGCCACCATATTTAAAATGCATGAGGCCTGAAGAACCCTCACGAGTGCTCTCAACCTCAGGCAAGAAGGACCTCATTTTCATATAACAAAATGAACTTAATACAGCAGCAAATCCCTAGAATTTGAAGGAAGTAGAACATCTGTGTTGGTTTTTAATCAGGTCTATTAGTTTCCTATGACTGCTATAACAAACTGCCACAAATAGCTTAAAACAGTATATTCTCTTACGGTTCTGGAGGCTAGAAGTTTGAAGTCTTAACAGAACAAAAATCAAGATATGCTGACAGGACACACTACTTCCAAGGGTTCTGTTAGAGTGTTTCAGTTGCCTTTTCCTGTATCTAGTTCATGTACCTCTCCCTCCTTCAAATAGTGTAGCATCTTCTGTGATTGCTTCCATCACATAGCCTCTTGTTTTAAGTGTCTTTATAAGAGGGAGGCTAAGGGAAATGTATCATTTTTCTTAGGGTTTACTTAGATAAGTGTTTTTATCATGAAACTTTTTGGGGATTGAGGGATGGAAGACAGTTGGGATCAAGGAATTGGTTATAGGAAAATGAGAGAAGTATCCCTGCTGGCCAGGGACTAGACAGACCACTAAAGGTAATTATGGTCAATCTTATGCCTTCCAAAGGCATCTCACATTTTTGAGCCCATAAACTGCCTCCAGCTGCAGGAAACTTTTCTAGATTCCAAACTCTTCATCTAAATTGCAATAGGCCCAAGGGAAGGGATAACTCTTTAAAATGTTTTTATCAGTGCATTATAATTCTACATATTGGTGGAATTCACTTTGACACATTTATATGTACATGTAGTATTTTTTGCTACATTTTCACTCCCTAGTTCTCTCCCTTTCCCTCCTTTCTTCCCTCCCTGTTCTTTTGTAAGGGTCCGCCCTTTTCTTTTGTAAGCATTGGAGGAAGAGACCACCAAGAGACTGACTCATGCAATTGCAGAAGGGGATTTATTGGGGATCCATTCCAGCGCGCTGGGGTTCCGTGCTCACTCAAGAAGGGAGAGCAGCCCGAGGGATCGAGCAGTGCTTAAGTACACTTTTTGGGGAGGGCGGGGGCTTTGCATACATCAGAACAAATCAGCATGAGGCGCGAGGAAATTGGACAACAACTCTCATACATGATTAGCACATTCATTGGCGGGAACAGGTTGGGCAGGGGTGATTGGTCACTCCTAAGCGGGGTACACATTCAAACTGATTGGTTCGGGCCCTGTATGCCTACGTGACAAGCTGCACAGGGCCCTAGCTAAATGGCCAGTAGGGCATTGTCTTAACTGCCTCAGGAATTTCAGGTTCTGGGTGTAGCAGAGGAACTTAATACCTGGTCCTTCACTTTTTAACTCGGGCCTTGCAGCATAGAAACTTTACAATGCCTGGTCTTTTACATTTTAACTCAGGCTTTGCAGCTTAGAAACTTTACCCTTTCACTTTTACTTACTGGTCTTTATTTTTCAATGGATGCATTATATACATAAAAGTGGAATTTGTTATGATGTATTCAATATACAAGCACATGAGCACAATTTGGCTAATTTCTTTCTGCAGTTCCTCCCCTTTCCCATCTCTCTTCCCCCCGCCCCAAGTCTTTCTCTTCTCCACTGTTCTCCCATTTTTGTGGATCCCCCACATACACATTTTTAATTCCTTATTTCTCTGTAGTTTCTGCATATGAGATAATATTTGACCCTTGACTTTGAGTCTGGCTTATTTCACTTAGTAAGATGTTTTCCAGTTCTATCCATTTACCAGCAATTTATGTAATTTCATTCTTTATGAATAAAACTCCATTGTGCATATCTATCACATTTTCTTTATTCATTCAATCTGTTGGCAGGTACCTGGGCAGGTTTTGTAACTTGGCTACCATGAATTGTGCTGCTATAAACATTGACATGCATGTATCACTATAGTGTGCTGATTTTAGTTCTCTTGGATAAGTATCAAGGAGTGAGATAGCTGGGTAACCCAATTCAGTGGGATAGCTGGAAAGTGAATTAAATAGACATTTCTGGAAAGAAATACAAGTGGCCAATAAATATAGGAAAAAAGGTCCAAAATTCCTAGCAATCAGGGAAATGCAAATCAAAACTACATTGAGACTTCATCTTACTCCAGAATGGCATTCATCAAGAACATTCATAATAAATGCTAGCAAGGATGGGGGTGGGTAAGTATACTCATACATTGTTGGGTGGGACTGCAAATTTGCACAACCACTTTGGAAATTTCTCCATGAACTCACCTGTTATAGACACTTGGAACTTTGGTGTTGAACAAGACCTTTAAAGCTTACTCAGGTGAGTTTGTAAGATGAAATCTCTATAATATTGCAAATTTCGACACATCTAGTGCAGGTAGACTCACTGGCTTCCTGATATTCCCATCTTAAATGCTTTCCTAAAATTCTTATTTGTATTGAGCAAAAATATCTCTCTTTGTCAACATATGGTGATTATCTTTAGGACTGATCCTTTAAGTTACCATGTGAAGTCATAAGATTGCCTTTAGGGACCCATTTCAAAGATTTACCACACTATAAACTATAGTAGTCTGGTCCCTGGCCAATTGATAAATATTTCTCTCATTGTTCTACCACCTGTTCCCTCCCCACCTGTCTTCCATCCTTCACTTCCCAGTAGGGATTCATGATTAAGTGTTGTGATAGAGATTTACTTCCACATCCCCAGGCATCAAGAGCTCACAGACCAGAAAAGGACTTTGATCTGAAGAGTCCTTGGATATATAGTGGGGGTGGGGAATCTAG